GTTGTTAGAGCGCTGTTGACTCTGGCCTTGGGGCCGATTAGGCTGTTTGTAAGGTTCCTCGCACTACATGCGGGCGTGTCCTTCTTGACCACAGTTAGTGCACGTTGCTTAGCTGCGCCAGCAAGTAATTCTACTGCACCCCAGGGTGTGGCATCTCCCACAGACAATGTGGCCATCCTGCGTGTACATGTCGGCGCCTTGGCGGATCCCCCGCCCGGGAGTGAACGGAGGGGCTACAGGACCTATCTGGTTCGGCGCGTGGCCTTGTTGAGGGGTCCGATACACGGCGGCGACTGGGTGGCCCATTAGAGTCCCTGGTTATAGTTGTTGCATGAACAGGTTCTGAGTCTGCTGCGCCATTCCCATCACTTGCCTCACCATTGCTCTTGCGAACCCACCGTCCTTCTGCAAGGCATTCTCGAATTCGGACTCGTCTTCGACCGGCAGCTGCATGTTCTTGTAAATTAGGACGGCTACGGCTTCGGAAATAGAATTCGCCATTGTCGTAGCCAGATCTGCCTTCCTTTCTGAGTTACGCAATCCCGACAGAAAGTATTGATACCTCATTTGAGGGTTGAAGTACTGAGCGCCGTCGCAGAGACTGGAGATTTGGTCTCCCCAAACTTCCGCTGACATGCCCTTGGAACGCTTGGTGGTCTTAAGGCGCTCGATCATTTGTAAGGGGGTCTGAAACACGAACTGGTTGTGGAACCGCGTCCTGAGGGTGGTTGATCTGCGAGTGAGTCCACCATGCCTCACCTGACTTTCCTTTCAAGCACTCACGGAACGCACTCAGCCTCAAGGGCTCGCTCAATCCCTTCGTGGTCCGTTCGAATGCTTCCCAGAAAGTCTTTTTCTTCTCCACCAAAGACACGTCCGAATAGAACGGTTGTATCATGCGGACTGCACTCTTGATGTGGGACGGCATTCCGTACGACGCGTACCCCCACCATCTGTGTGTGGGCCTGGCCACTATGTTGAAAATCTCCACTGGGGGAACCGTTACCTCCCTGAAATAGCGCCCCCGACGAGGGAGGGAAACCCGCAGGAGGATTCGGGCCCCCTGGTCCGCTAGGTCCTCCGGGTCCATTAGGCCCTCCAGGTCCGTAGGTTCCTCCAGGAGTAGTAGATAGAGTCTCCGGTCACCCACTCTGAGAGTAGAGAGCTGGAGTAGTCGGAGTTGTCGGTTGGTACGCGTGCGACGAATATCCTCCGGATCGGGTTGAACCTTGCCACCCGGTCGGCGTTCCGGTGAAGGGAGCATTCCACGTCGTCCAAACGAAGCTGCGGGGTTAGTCTGGGTACATTCACCAGGCTGAGCAATCCCGGTCAACTAAGTCACCATCGAGTAGGGCCGGCACGAGAAATGAGCTCCCTTTGATTAAGATGTGGTAAATCGGCAAAATAATATTTTATTTTTGCTTTATATAATAGCGGCGTGTTATAATTTTACAAAATGCCACCGTTAAATAAAAACAAACTAAAAAAATTATGAAAAACCGATTTCATAATATAGTAAATAATGCACTGGTGACTGCTCTGCCACTCCATCCAATTGCTATACAAGAAATACAATCACGTCACAGGCGTATACACACGCGTACAACTGCAGACTGCCTAACATTTTCTCATAGTTCGAAAGGTTTTCAAGCAACCAAGCACCAACACGATCGATGTCTCTAGTGCCAAGAAAAGCAGAACCAGCGCCTTCTATCATCCAACCTGCAATGCCAATAGCGTAAGTAATAGAGCAAAGTATTTGTAAGACAATGTCACAACGTGCACCAGTCTAGAGGTGAGCCGCTGGGCATTTCGGTATGGTATCCGCCATTATACATTATGCCGTAAATTTGATATGAAAGGATATGGTGCTATCAGCGTCAAGAATCAGGACGGTTTTCGTCTCGGTTCCGCCTGTAACTATTGGTACTACAGCTGGAACGCCAGTAGTACGTAAAAGATTACATTTGTTATGATATACGCTCCAGCCGACTTATTTCAGCTTGTAAAGCAAACTATATTCAGTAAAAAACATATCAACATCTTAAAGGTGATTTTCAATCACTACCACTGACGACCATCCCGCCTCAGCAGTGCATTAATGTACCGGTATCCGTATTGATACACAGATAGAGATCATCCCACCACATTATAGCCTGGAGAGTCAGGTGGGCGCGTTTTTCGTACTGGTATTCAAAGTGATATATCGCTAGGGACCATACCACCCCATAAAACCTTTGGGGACCAGGATAGCGCTACTGATGTACTGATGTACTGAAACCTGTATCGGGCATACTCGGGTGAACTTACCACCGAATTAATCCGTGTTGAGCTGTCCCTTACAGCTCTGAAGTGCTTCCTATCTCAGAATTATTCTAACGTTCGTAGTTTATCCGATTTCTGATGTACCCATCGGGGGTTGACAACCATCAATCAATCACCATAATAAAGTAGATGTTTCCGTTCAGGCTGGTTGTGTCTGTAATGTGGAATGCCTTACAATTGTCGACGGCCGTATCTCGTGTTCTCATGATTATAGTTTGATGCGTGGGGCACATGTATCTAACGATCAGAGTGTTAACTGGTGCTTTCCACTTCCGATAAAGCGCAGACGGTATAGGGGTAATTAACATGTTACAGTACACGGAGTGTGTTTACCGCGCTTCGGCTCGGGTGTGTGGCCCGAGCTGCGCCCCAAGTAGAGGGTGGTAGACACACTCTCGCTACTGTAGAACAGTTGATTTTCCCCTGTCGCTCACCATCTTCTCCGCGACGCTGTTCACGGACTCCCCGCAGAGGCGCGTGTAGGACTAGTTGGATAGTGGTCCACACTGAACAAGTGGCACATGTGAGTCTGGCGTCATCAAGTGTCCACGCGCGTCGCCAGACACAGATTCTCCCCGCGCATCATTGAAGTCAGGCACATCGACTTGACTGCGCAATGTTCTCGTGAAGTTCTCAAAGGAGAACGACGAGCTCGGTTTTCGTGCCTCTATCCATGTCACTTTG